CGTGGCGAACCTGCTAGTGATAACAGCCGACGCAGCCACCGCGTGATGCAGGAGGGGTGGCTGGTCCGCCAAAAAGCCCGAGGTCGACTCGGTCGTCTGCGCAGCAGAGGAGCCAGCGTCAGCCACGAATTGTGACTTCTGCGACTCCGACTCCTTTCTACCTGTCACCTTCTATCGCCACGGCTCGCCGTGACGAAAATTAACATGTGTTAAAGCCAGCAATATTGATACTGACGAAAGATTTCGAGCCCGTTGTCCTTTGTGCTACTTCTAACACAGAAGTGTTGATGCCCTCCTCCTCCGCTTTTAGTAGCCCCAGCGCAAACTCACCCGATTTGTCGGCGCTCCTCGGCAGGAACAAGATGATGTTACGCACCGGAGGCATGTCATCGCCTCTCTTCGTACACATAATGGGTTCCTTCTAGCCCTCAAATAACGATACTTTCTCAGCAAATCAGGTTGCTCTCCTCTCGTCCCTGCAATCTAACAGAGCATGCCTGACCTAAAATACATGCCACAAATATACTTCATCCATTATGACATCTTGAAGCTTGGTTAGGTCCTCCGAGCTCAGGGTAGCAGCAGAATACTTACAGAGCGACACGGCTACCTGGATGTTTTTGAGGGCTTTCGGATAACTGGGCTGCTGAGTGGCAGCCTCCTCGGCCTGTTTTTGCCCAGTCGGCCTACCCAGATTTCTAGATAATAAATTTGGAGGGGTGGGTTTTCCCGATGCCGCTTGGTATGAGGGTAGCTTAAGCGTCACCTTGCTTGGAGCCTGTTGGATCCCCATTTCTCCAGCTCTCGTCGGGCGCGGGTGTCTGCTGCAGCTGTTGCGGTTGACCGTTTCTCTGTGCTTCGGCAGGCGTGGGTTTCAGTGCCTGTTTAGTAGGCTCGCTCTTCCGCCTATCGGCAGGTGCGGGTTTGCTATCTCGACTTTTTCACTGTCGTCCCTCTTTCCCCACCTCTATCCTGCCGCCTGCCATAGGTCTGGCTTCGACTAGGGTTTTACCCTGATCCAGGTAGCGGAGGTACCACTTGACCCAGGAGCCGCTCAAGCCTAGGCGGTATTGGTCATATAGGGAGTCCGACGGACCCGCCAGAAGCATTGGAGGGGGTCTGGCCCTGCGGTTCTGTTGTACACACAGCCACTGATGCGGCAAGTGTTGTAGATGTTGTAAGCCTTGTTGTTAGTTTTTTTTTGGTTTTTTGTTGTTATTCCGTATTCATCTTCTTACGAACTGCTTGTTGAAGTGGGAAAATTTGGGATCCGCTATGCTGTGTTATGTTAGGTCTGTCCATTGCGTCCGAGTTGTCCCCGGTGGCCACAGAGGTGCTTCATGATTAAGGCCCGGACACCCAATTTCCTTGTATGTTGCCAGCAACGTTTCTTTATCTTTGATCCAAGTGTTGCCGGCGAGCGAAAACTTTGCGACTTTGCAGCACACTGTACTGGCTGGGTCCAACAGCTTTTTTATTATTCAACCTCGAAACTCATTCCTTACCTCGTCATAGTGAGGTGGCAGTTGCTTTGTTTGTTCTAACAAGAGTTCGACTTTGGTGGACGTTTTTTCTATCGGGCAGCATTTGAAGCTCTGACATATTTCGGCCTCTGTCCTCTTATTACGGCAACTACGTTTCTCCTCCGTCTTCAGCTCCGTATCTGGATCCTAAACAACTCGCGTTATGCCCAACCGTAGCGTGGCCATGTAACCGGCATTTTTATTCTCTGCAGTTTGTGACATTCCTCGTCCTACCAGCCGCTCTTTCGGGTTCACTGATATCCTACTACATCTTTAGCGGCGGTACGAAGCAGGAAATGTCGCGCTCTTTTACATGGCCGTTATTGTCGACGTCATACCTGGTCCCGTCCGATACATCGATCGTCCGGGCAAAGCCACCTTCTTCTTTAAGGGTCTGGAAATTCTAGATGCATGCCCTAAAATCTTAGTCCTTTACACGTTTGTCGTGGTAGTCACCAAAAGAGGGGAGAGGGTGGGTCTCGTCCGAGGCTTTATTGTTCTTTTCATTAGAAGTCGTAGTAACAAACAAAACGGATAACCCATGGCTGTTATAAGGCACTCACAGGATACTTGGTGTAAACACCGGAAGTCGTGATCTGCTTGAACCGGATGCAAAATAATTATTTTGGCCACTGTCTAGTGAATGGTAATCAATAATTTTCCCATGCGTGGGCTTCTGCACCCGGCAATACCTTGGTTATTTGAGGCGGGCTAGTTAGGTAATTAGTGAAGAGTCGCTAAACTTCTTCTCGGTGTCCACTTCTCATGCAAGCTAGCCCGAGGAGAAAACTATGTTAACTCAGTCACTCTTTTTGTTTAAACCCAGGGTGATTCATTTATACATTAAGAACAGGATTCGTTGTGGTTGATCATCAAGAGCTCAACATGAGTGAATAAAGGCTAGGTCGGTCAAGACTGCTCTTTACACAATCACAAAGTCGATAGAGGAAGCTTTCACACACAAATACTTCAATGCAGGAGCCTTCTTCAAGAAAGCCAATTATGGGGTCCAAACCGACCTAATTAAGCTTTGGAACAGAACCGTCATGGTGGGAGGGGAAGTGCTACCGTTCAGCATCAAGGTGGCGTCTTCCGACTTGCTGGTCGCTGAAGTGAAAATGCCGGTGATTAATTGTGATCGATTCAAGATTTTCAGAGCCAGCTAACTAAGCTTCAATCGCGAACAGATACTCGCGCAAGTCTTACCACAATGCTAGTTGGAAATGACTGACGTCTCCTTCGGTCGCATCTGAGTATTTCGTATTCCGGCTTATATGGCTGGCAGGCGAAAAGGATTTGTAGGAAATTGCCTGGCGGATGAGCTAGCCACGAAAGACACGCTTAAGACCGTCACACAGAGAAAGGAGAGTGTGGAGGAATGAGTAGACTACTCTTCGACAGAAGCGCTGGGCGAAAACCAGAACATGTGCTACTACAAGTTCTTTCTGGCCTAGGGTATATTGCGGGTAGTAAAGGAGTCTCCTTAGGCTCATGAAGTAGCAACAGTCACTTTTGGTGTGTGTATTGAGACCAAACATCACATCTGATCCTGGCTTTAGCAGCTGTTTGAGGACGGCGAGGTGAAATTAGTTGCTTTCCAGATGCTTCACGATTTGCGTGTTTTTACAGGAAGTCGTCGGTCGGGTGACCACCTTCCATAAGATTTATTAATAGAGAAAAGAGCTGTTCCTGAAAATCGTGAATATCGTGAAGCATCTGGAACGCAACTATTATATTTTAACATTTCTTCTTAACCAACATCTTAACCTAACCTAATATAAGGCTGTGTTCAGAAATGCATCAAGCCAGTCTCTTTTATTTCTAAACAATAACTGTTGGAAATGGCTTTTTTGCGCAGCTAAGTTCAAATTCGATATTAAACGCGGGCTGCGCATATTGGACTTTTCCGTCAATTATAATTAAGAAATAAAAGAGACTGATGCTTTGGCTTGATGCATTTCTCACCACGGGGATAACTTCATGATACAAATATTTAATATTTATTTTTTTGTATCATGGAATAACTTAACAAAATTAGCACCGAATTAACTATCCACTCCCAAGGTCCGTTTTCACAGTGATGAGCTAACTCTGGCTCACCAGTTCACTTTAAATTTTTCTATACAAAATCAATAGCAAACTCCCGAATGAGAGCCATCGTGAAAGAAATCCTATTAGAATTTTATCGTAACCAAAACGGATAAGTTTTTAGAAATATGACTTTTGATTAATCTGGAATTGAAAATATCGTTATGATCTTTCATCTAAATCTTTCAGCTAGGAAAGGACTCGCTCGACTAGCGCCAAAAAACTTTTTTCCATAAATTATATAGTCTGACTTCCAAATTGCATCAATATAAATCATCAGCCTCTTTTATTTCTAAACTATAATTGATGGAAAGGCCCCATTTGCGCAAGTACGTCCTAATTCGGCATTTGAACGTGGTTGCCCATATTGGACATTTTCATCAGTTACAGTTGGGAAATAAAAGAGGCTGCCGCTTTGCATTGATGCAATTTGAGGCTCAGCCAAACTCATAGAGTAGAACTTCATACAGGCGTTCAGCGCTTTTCAGATTAAAACCTGGTGTGAATTTCTACTTTTAGTTATAATGGTAATCTCTTTAGTAAATATGCTACTGCCCTAACACCATACTCCTGAAATATTTTTCTGCATTTCTTAGTACCGATATAAATTCCATCGATTCTTAATGAGCGACCATCAAACAAAGGGGTGGGGAATGATTCCTAAAGAACGATCCAAGGATTAAGCAACCAACAATTTAGGAAATGAGGGATTCTATTATCAAGCTTCTTACCCAAGGATAAAGGGTTTCTCTTATAAAACTATTTGGCTCTCACATTTTTGTTAAGTGTTTCTGAAATTTCTGTTGTGTCGTAATGTTCCTCACATAAATTAAGGGATCTACATTTTGACGCCCCCCTTCTCCGTAGCTCCGAGAAGAATCTTGAATGTAGAAGGACACTAGGCATTGGTTGGAGGTGTTTAATGCCATACGTCTAACTACTCGTCACCGGCAACATAAAGTGTTCGTTTTCTTTTCCTCGCTTAAAGCGAAGCTTCCTTGGTGCCTAAACGTAAAAATATAAGCTCTATAGCTCTAACATTTGAAAAATACTGTACCTGTTCAACTGCAAAGCGCTGGACTACGTTAAAACCAATTGCTACAGGAGTAAATTTTAATTATTCTTTTATTAAACCAAATTCGTGTATGTATGTATGTGTAAAATAAATTACAAATTAAAAAATATTTCTCTGTTATTTCTTCTGTGTTATTATTCGCTTTGATGCATATCGATTTTTTTAATATTAATTTTACAAATATCGCATATCTTTCGCTATACTCTACTAAAAATTACATGTTTTTTGGTTACTTTGTTATCGCTTTATGCCTTTTTTATGGTTGGAATTTTCCGTTGAAATCTGCAATTGCGTTTGGTCATTATTGTGTTTATAAAAGTAAATCTTACATAGATACTTTGCAGTAATGTTATGAGCTTAAAGAGTTTCAAGTAATTTGTTTTTGTTCGTTACTTTTTAGTGTTACTTAAGAACAATTAAATGTTTTTTTTTAGATTTAAGATTTTAAAATAGGTGTATACGATAATTAAAACGCATTTTTGAAAACCACCTAGAGTGAAATTGCATTAACACATTTTTATGATCACAAAAATTATTTTTATACAAAAAATATACAATTCTTTGTTTTATGTATTAGTATCGATGATTTTGGTAACTTAAGTCCGTTTAAGTCTGATAAATTAAAGTTTTAGTTTTACAAAATATAAAAAATAGAAAAAGCTTAATGCAATTCCTTAGTCCATTTTTCATTCCAAAGCCACTACAGCTTTTGTATCAATAGCACAGCAAAATAATCTTGATTATGAAATAATTGTTTGACGTTGAATCGTGTTTTTTTTTTTTATTTATGATTTCCCTTAGTATTAAAAATATCTGCGTACTTTGGAGTCTTATTAAGCTTTTTAAAGCCTACAATTCGTGTTTCATTCATATTAAATCGTAATCTACTTAAATTTTTTTTTTGGCCACTGATTCTTTATTTTTAAAATCTGAATATTCTACTTCTTATCGCACCTCTTTGTTCGCATATGTAGGTCATCTCTCTGTATTTATACTTGAATAACATTTATTAAAAGCTACTTAAAATGGTCTTTAGCGCTTAGTTTGCACAATTCGAGTTTTATAAATACAAACTATTGTAAATAGCTACTGCTACAGGTTATTAACGGAAGTGTCAATGTGCAAGTGTACTCGTATCTTGAGATTATTTCGCATATATTTCCGATGTTTTCCTGTGCGTGAGGGATATCCTTTACTCAATACAAGCAAACAAATTTCAACAGCGTCTGCCATTTTTTTTTCGTTAAAAATATTTTGCCACATCGTATTGCGATTGTATGCACCCTATGTGTGTTCACTCGAGTTCGCAGGCATGTTTGCGACTCTAAAATTAGGTTTTCAAATATATTTCAATCTCATGAAAAAGGACAATTCCTTGGTATTCTAATAATTTACAGCTACATACAAGCAGCTAAAGCAGTAGGCGATTCTAATATTTATGGTTTGTGATACCAGTCAAGAGCTTTGCATTTGATTAAACAGTATAAATAAAGAGAAGTATTTTTAGTGGAAGTAATGACAGCATTATCATTGCATTTCAGAAATGCCCGACGCATTTTGACGGCAATTGTGCCCGCACTAGGGAGTGTGATTGTTTTTTATAAGCTATTTTACGATGAAACTTTTATCGCATGAAACTTGATTGCAGTCTCCAATGAAAATGAAATCGCAATATATGGTAAGACCAAACTACCAAAATACTCCTTGGCTGACTTTCCTCTCTCCGAGGATCTACTTTCAAAAGTTTTCGTACGTATAAAATTGCGTACTTGAACAAATCGTGTGTTACGAGTTTCCCATGGGCGTGAGGAAATGTGAGTTTCTAAAGTGTGCGTATAATTATTTGATAATCAAAATATTTAAATGTTTCACGCACTTCTTCTTTGTTTAACCTTAGTTTATCAAATGCTATCTAATAAACTAACGAAAATCACGAAAGTATAGCCACAGAACGTCGCGGCCCGCCTTGGCTTATGTTGTCCATTGATGACCACTTTTTCATTCCATTCTTCAATGCTTCGGCAGTCACTTTATCCTGCATAACGCGTGACATGGCCTCCAACTTTTGGGCACGCTCCTTGGAGAGTGGCTCTGTTGGGAATGACAAGTCGTTCGCTTCGGCGAGCGTACGCAAGTCAAAGTAATATTTGGCATAGACGGATGAGGGCACATTAATATTGAATTGCAATAACTCAAGGAATTGGCGTTCAAGTTCATTCATATCTTCAACGGTGATATCTTTTAAGATTTGACAATAGTCCACATTCCAGACAGCTTGATCATCCCACACTTTGGAGGCGAGCAGTATGGCACCTGTATAGAAATGAATCGATTAAAATTCTTACATCTCAATTCAAAATCAAAAACGTGTTCACCAAACATACCCAAAACCATACGCTTCCAATTGCACGGTGCCAAATCTAGTTCCGCATAAGTGAGCAAACGCTCAAGATAGACTAGCGTTATAATGGCACATTCAGCAGTCAGCTGAGCCGCATTAAAGAGCGTGCGCACGAATTTGTAGATCTGTCTATGTTCCGGATTATGCGAATCATAGTCATCAGGAACAGCATCATGCGTAAGAGGATGCTGCTTTTCGTCGAAAATATCTAGCCGACGATTGGACTGTCGATTTTTGATGTGATAATAAATGGCGAGTGAAACGCATTTCACTGTATTTTTGAGATTTGGTTGTGATACAGTGCTGTCATCCAAATAGATGGTGGAGCAAGATGAACTTTTCTTCAGACCACCACCAGTTGAATTCGCCGCCTGTTGAGCGATTTGATGCTGGGAGCGCTTACGTGAAATACCACCATTTTCGACTTTGGATCGTTCGAGGAACATAGTGGCCGCAGTTGGGTCAACGGAAGGATCATCATCGCCTTCGAGCGCCTCACGTTCTGAAATATGTTGTAAATTATGCGGATTGTCCAGTGTACCAGCACTGTGATGAATAGCCGCTGTGGAAGCAGAAATATGACCATCTAGCTGATGTTGCGATGAAGAAATGTGATGGCTGCTATGTACGTGATGACGCTCCTCATAGACGGGTGGTATGTCTTTTGATTTGCGATCTGATTGAGGACTGGAATAAGCACAACAGGAATTTTTGTTGCCCATTTTATATGACTTTATTTCACAACGATTGGGCTCTATGGAACGTGTGCGAGCGAGTATTTATATATGTATGATATACAAGATGAAGAGATCCGTTAATAATGCGAGGAAATGGCAAATCTAGATTGCCTAGAATGGTAGAGCCGCAAAGAATTTACGTAATGTTAAATGCAACTGTTTCAATCACTTGTCTTTTTTAATGGGTTTCTCCTCTATTCTTAAACTGTTGTTTTATAAATTTACTTTTCTTTTGCCTTTGACTAGTTGGGAGGGTTTCCTTATTTTTAATTAGTTATATAAGAAAGATTCATAAAATTGGGATTTTCATAAAACAATACGTATTGCTGTTGTTGTTTAATCGCAATCGATCCGATCCATCTAAACGCGCTGCCTCGTATATAGATATTTATTTTTCCAAAGTTTGGCCGCACTCAAAGTCTTTTTTAGTGGTTAATCTTGGACACGAATGTATTTAACTCCTCAATATTTGGCACATCTGTCTAGTTACAATGAGACATTATTGCAGGTAACTTTACAATTTGCTGCTTAATTGTGGCCGATTCTGAAACTATAAGTAAATATTTATCCATTAGTTAGCTGAATAAAGTAATTTCATTTTCATTTTCATTTATTTGTATATTTATATACATAACCGCATTAAGCATTAATCTTTTATTGCGCAATACACATAATGCAAATAATATGTATGAAAATAAAATTAAAACTACAATTATATAAATACAAGTCTTTATACATATATTAATATAAACTTAAAAAAGCCAGGTAGAAAATTTATGGAAATGGAAGAGAAAAATTTATGTAAATGAATAAACTGTGAAAAATTTATAAAATTTTTGAGAAAAGCTTTCTTTTAAAAAGTTTCAGTTTTCATTTATTTTTATTTTCTCGTAACTGTAGTGTACTTTTTCGTGTAATTTTATTCACGCAAATATGTACATACATACATGTGCATTTATGTATGAAGAAAACTTGGCATAAACTTCAAACTGTAATTTCTTATGTACCTTGTACGTATTTTGTATGCACTCCATTACCCAGAAATTAGTAGAACTTTTGCTTCACATTTTCTTAAGTTACATTTTTATTGCACTGGTACAAATGGTTGTGCGAAGTTATGCAGAGTATGCATAATCAGACCTTTATCCTATGGACTAAACTTTTCAATATTAAGTTATGTAAGTTATTTTTCCAGAAAAATTGAGACATGACGTTCTTCCAGCATACGATACATACATATGCATATGCATACCGAAAATGTATATATGCACATACTTTGTACCAAACGCTAATAAGATAAGCCTGGCATAAAATGACGTTAAAAAAAGAAAACAAGATATAAGTTAAAACAAACATATTACGATTTTCATTGTTAATTAAACAGAGTTAAGCACTGTTGTTAGATGCTACAGCAGCAACTTCGTAAAGATTATTTTTAAAAATAAATATTTGCCACCAATGCATATCAGTTCATTCCAAAATTTATAATTGCAAAAAAATCTATTACAAACATGCATACACACAATAAGCATAAGTAAATCCACATAACGACAATTGAACGGTGCTTGCACAAAATGGTGTATAATTTTTTTCTTTTTAATTTACATTGTGGAGACATTTGGGCTTAGGCGTAAGTTGTTGTTTTGCTGTTGCCCATGCTATGAAGTAAAGAGAGCTAGCTGGTATAAATTGAAACAAAAATCGGATTTATTCAAAGAATTGAAACATTGACGCTGAATTAATCATTTGAAAGAAGGAAGAAAGGTTAATTTAAAATAAAAAGGTATATACCTTATACTGAAATTAAAAAAGAATATCTTCACATTCCACTGAATTTTAATTGAATGTAACTCACAAATATGTCCACAAATATGTCATAGGTAAAAGAGTAATCACACTAAATATATTAGAATAAATTGCTAACATATCAATGAAGTAAACTGAGATTAAACCAAGTTGATTTAACATTTCAAATAGGATTAAGGGATAGGGAGCTCTACCCAGGAAGAACACTCAGAGAGTAGATTTTAAAATTTGTGTGTTCAAGGCAGACCATCAAATTAATTTAAGTTTTCTACTAATAACAAGACATCTTTTAATTTTAATTTTAAAACATACATATGCATGAAAGGAAGCCGCTATGGTGTAGTGGTTACACGAGGCCTGGGATCGAGCCCAGTTTCCGAATGATATAAAAAAAAGGTTTTTTCTAATAGCGGTCGACCCCCGGCAGGCAATGGCAAACCTCCGAGGATATTTCTGGCATTAAAAACAGCTTCACATAAAAATACAATCGGCGTTCTGAAACTGTAGGTCCGTCCTCCTGACAACATCAAGGCGCACGCCACAAATCGGAGGCTCGTCCAAATACTAACATATTGTGTAAGCGCTGATTTTATGAAGTAATAAAAAAATTTTATCAAGCAGGCAAATCGCTCGTCATAAAATTTTATGATGCAAAGTACGGCGGTGGCATCACAAAAGGCATATCTCTGGTTTCAGCATCGCAATACTCAACTGCAAAGCTAAGTTTGCGTAGTTTGCGTGTTTGACGCTGGAGATTTAGCCAAAACAGAATCTTGATTCATCAATTTGAATTAATTCAAATACCAAACCACTGGTACGATTCGTGGTGTCTAAAATAAAAATAGATATTAGTTAAAAAAAATAACAATATTTTGTTTGTAAATATTAATTATCTTGCAATTGAGTATGTCTTGGCAAATCATTTACTTTACTTCTGGTACAACCACTGGCTTTACAATACAAATTATTTTCTACTAATTCTATGAATTCCCGACAATGAGAAAAGCTTTCATACAGGTTGCTTTCATAAGAAATTGCTATAGATTAAGATAAGGGCACGAATAATTGGCGAAAGTTATCAAGCTAGTTATTTGAGTGTGAGAAGTTCTGCAACAGCACCGACAGCGTCTACAATTTTCAACGTTGACTTGCCTGGAGTTATGCATATACAGTGGTACATGAATACGTATGTATATATGTACGTATGTATGTACTTACTATACGTATTTATTCAAAATCATGAATAATGAATAAGCTGGAGTCTGTAGGTAGTGAATATTTATAACAACTCCACACATGGCTATCCATATGTAAGATCCGACTGATATACATATGTATGTAATTGCTAGGGAACGGATTTTATGGAAATTGCTTTTTATCTGCTAAAGAAATACGAGTATATCCGATTAAGAACGTCCACAGTTTAGCCTTCCCTGATTCCATATGTACATATACACACTTGATGTTTCCTTTTTTAAGAAATTTGCCTTTTCTACTTTTAATTGTAAAGGGCCATGAAAGTTTTAAACGTTCCATATTTAAAATGGGCGCCACTTGTATCAACTCACGTCGAACGAACCTTTAGTACATTCCAGGCTTTTCCTCGTGAAAATCTAATGAAAATGCTGCCAGAAAACTTCAAAATGCACCTTGTGGTTAAATGTTTCTGCAATTATAGTGATTAAAGTTTTGCGAGTTAAAAGTTCGAGAGGAGAAAATAGTAAAAGAATCAAAGTAGAAAATTTCCAACTAATGAAACTAGTTCATAGGTTTTTCATGGTTTCTTCACATTTTACTTGTAAAATAAACATTTCTAAACTAAATGTATTTTTTGATTATTTTTTCGGTTCTTGTCTTCTTTTGCCTTTTTTGCGATTTCTAGTGCCTTTTATTGCCTATTTCGCTATTTTATTTTGCCTTTTCTAGCCTATTTCGTTATTTTATTTTGCCTTTTTTATAGCTTTTTAGGTCTTAAAAATCCGTTCCCTGGAAAATACATATTTAGTATTTATTACTTTTTGTTTATTATCAGCGAGAATATAATTTACATAGCGCTCCAAATGTTAATTCCAAATAATTTGATTTTCTTAAGACTCTTGGGAAGGTATGCAATTAAACCGGGTTGGGGAGTGTGTTACTCACAAGTTTGCGCTTTTTCCGGCTAATAAAAACTTTGCGTTGGCAGGCTACTCACATAATTACATATATGTACATGCTCCTAGACTTTGAAGGCATACATACATAATTGGATTTTTTGACATATTTTCTATAATAATGAATATTACCTTAGACAATTTTCGTTCAGAAACTGGAGTCTTTGATTTATTTCGGTGCTTGTGCTGCTTTGTCCGCCGTGACACTTTGCTGAGCTGTTTGGTGTGGCTCTGCCGCTTCCGAAGTGTTTGTTGTTGCTGAAGATCGAGGTGCAGTTGGGCACATTCAATTTGCTATCTTTCCTGAATTTTTACATTTTTTGACGTTTAATTATTTGCGAATGAAACTTTTTTCTGTATTTTACATCTACAATCACTTCAATAGGATTTTTTCGATAAGAAAAGGCAAACTTTTTTAGTTTTTCGCCCAGCTTTGCGGTTTCCGTGATATTTCACTAGGTAGCGGCTGTCTGTTTTCGGGTTAGGAAATATACCGAACCGAAGTTTTTTGTTGTTGATTGCGATAATAAAACTTTTTATTATGGTATTTGCAATTCACTTTATAAAACTTTGCACGCCCCAAGTTTGTACATTTACAATTTACACACCGCCCCAAAATTAGAATGTATGTAGAATTCGTGCAAAAATGTTTTCTTCTAGGCTTTTTTTGCTATGACATTCATGAAAATACCCACAAATTATCATGGCGAATCGGTTTGGGACATTTACGCACGGCACGAATGTGCATAGTTGCATTTTAATGCATGTGAAAGTACAATAAATTGTCTTAATTGAAACTGGACTTTTTTGCAACAAATTAGTTCTATGCACAATTTTTTACTAAAATTGTGTTCCTCTTCCACACAAGGACAAAATTTAAAACAAAGCTTTGCGTTTGTCGACATTAAAGTCGACTCCAAAGTTAAAGTGGAACAAATGCAAAAAAAAAAATAGTGGACTCTATAGAGGAATTTGTCCAGATTACAATTTTTAATTTTTTTTTGGTGGAAACAAAAAATGTAAGTTTTATTCAAGTCAAAAAGTAAAA